TTTAGCCGTTTGGCTGTAATTTGCGTTAAAAAATTGATAGAATGAATCCAATATATGCTGTAATTCTCGTACCTTTTATAAAAGGGGAGGCGCCAAATGATTACATACTTTTGAGGGAGGCGTAGTAACATCAAGTTTGGAAACCACTGGCTTAATCCATTTATATTCCTTATTATTCTCAAGGTCTAAATCTAAGAGGAAAACCTGCAATTAGAAACTAAGTTAATATTTCAATCAAATTAGATTTACATTTATGTTAAACTTACACATATAAATATCCAACGATTCATTTTGTCATAACACTGGCTCATTGTCAATGGAACCAAACTTAGATTAAGTTCCTTTCGATGCTTTGAATAATTGAATTCAAGATGAGATTCTGCAACAAGATTGGATTTAAAATTACACACATTTGATCAACATTTGGTTTTTAATCTGTCATTTTACTCATTTATACTAACTAATGTAAGTCTGAAAATATAAAGCAAATTGTTAATAAATCAATTGAAATTTGCAATAAAAATAACTAATGCGTGACTCGCCTTAATTATAAATAAAACTAATTCATAAGTCTTATGAGAAATATCAAGTTTCAAGTGAAATTAAAAGAAATGCATCCGAAATTGCATACCTTTCATTTTTTGGATCATCCGGTAGTGCCATCTAGTGGTCTGATCACGAAACAGTCAACGCGTCGTTTTTTGTTTGGATGTTGGAAATGTTCAAATTTTACTTACTACGAAATTGATATTAAATGAACGGATAGACGAAAACTGATTATGCGGAAATGATTGGCGTCGTTAAAACTCAATGAAATGCGTAAACTCACCCCGGGAAATTTCGGAAAATTCTGCAATAAACGTGATTTTGCGGGCGAGCGAAACACACAAATTGATGCACACTTGTTGACGGGTTTGCGAACGACATGCAGCGCCACGCACGGTCGCTTTGGATACTAACCGCGAAGTCGTCTCGACCAATCGCGTCACCGCATTTCAAACGAGCGCTTAGCAACCGCTGCTGTTTACACTTAATCGAAAACAATACAAGTATTGAAATAAAAAATCAAGTAGTTCGTAAAACAAAACCAAATGTATATATATATATATTTTTTATTTTTTTACAATTTATTGTTCCAAAACAATTGCGGAATCAAAAACAAATCCACACTAGATTCCAATTGATCGTTTTGTTTTTTTTCAGGGTATATATAATTTCATAGGGTCGTGGAAAATATGTGATGGATAAATACGTGTCTTTCGTTGAGGTTGTTCTTTCTTCTTGTTGTTGTCGTTGTTTCAATTCCGTCCGATGTTCATATAATAATAATAATAATATGCATTATACAATACAATAATAATACAAAATAATAATAAAAACAAAAATAATTTCCTACAACAGCTAACTAAGATTCTAACTATACACACACAAGCATGCTCGCACTAACACACACAGATACACACGCAAACAATTGAAGTCCTTCTGATTGGAAGGACCGCAGAAAGATATAGAAAAAAACAAAAAACAGAAGAAAGTTTGACGGAGAAGAGAGGAAAAAACAATACACAAAAGTTAAAGAAAACAAGTGAACGCCCGCCCCCGCCCGCTCGATTCGCAAACCACTTTACAATTATACATACATATACATATATATAAATATATAGAATTTCAATCTCTCTCTTTCTCTCTCTCACGCTCATTTTCACAACAAATTTTTAACAAACAAATACAAAAAAAAAATACATAGTACGTAATACAAAAATAATTTCGTTCTTGTTTTCACTTAATGTTAATAATAATAATAATAATAAAAAAATAAATCCAACAAATACTTTCTGCATATATATGTAAATATATATGTATAAAAAATTTCTTATTGCGTTTTTCTTCTTCATCTTCTCCCTTTTCATTCTTTCTTAGGTTTTGTCGTTGTCGTTGTTGTTGTTATTGTTGTTTAATGACAATTGTAATTTGAAGTAAGGAAAATGCTCATCCCCTCTTGAACTTAAGGACGAGCATACTGACGGTGAGAAAGATGACGATCCAGGTGATCGTCGAGAGGAAACCCATGTAGACGTCGCGCTCGATGATCGACCAGCCGCGCGTCAGCATCGCACGGAGCGACGTCGTGGCCATCGTCAGCGGCAAGAAAGTGGAGATGTACCGGAGGATGGCAGGCATCCCCTCGATCGGCCAGATGACGCCGCTGAGAAGCAGCGTCGGGTAGAAGCTACCCAACGCCAGTTGGATGGCATTCCTCTCCAGCTCGCAGACGGCGGAGATGACGAAACCGAAGCACATGCCGCACAGACCTTGGAGGATCGTCAGGATGATCACCCAGCCGATGTCGCCCTTGCACTGCACACCGAACACCAGGATCATGAAGATGAGCACGAGCGCCGTCTGGCCGCACATCACCACGAACTGCGTGACGACGTGCGAGAAAAGAATCTCACCGGGAGATACACCTACAAATCAACAAATTCAATTAATATTATCGCAAATTAATATTAATTAAGACGTACCGGCAACCCAGGAGCGATCCAAGAGACCTTCCGTCCGCTCAACGATCAACGCGGATGACGTCAACGCGACGGCCAAGAAGAAAACGATGCTAAAAATAAGAAAATAAAAGAATTTTTTAATAAAACATTCAAGAGATCGTCAAAATAATGATTCTTACGTGAGGATTACACCTGGCGCAACGAAATCGGTGAACGAAGGCTTGCTGGATCCGTAAATGGGAACTTGGAAATGGATGGGTACGTCGGCGATCGCTTCATTCTGATCGCAGCTCTTCAGCAGCGACTTGGCGAAACTTTGATACGTAAGTTGAAGATCTCGTTGCAGGATTATGCCAATTTGTTGATCTATAAATTAATTAAGATTGAATTAGTCAGTTGTTCGTGATTGAAGTCATCATCACTACTCACTTGACATGTCGAGCCACACTCTGACTTCGCTCTGATCCAGTGTTTCGTCGTCGGCGTCCTTGCCCAGAGCCATCCTAGCAACGAGCGCGTCGGTGAAGTTCTCGGTAAAGTATAAGGCACCCCAGGCGTTTCCAGTCCGCACGGCCATCTGAGCGCTCTGCGGGTCCGGATAATACTCCTTTATTATAGTCCCGTTCTTTAGATTGTCCAGGTATCGACAACTGAGATGGCTGAACTTGCAGCCCATCTCGTAGTCGCACGACTGGTAGGTGAGGTTCGTGTAGTTGGTTTCGTGATTGACGACGGCGATCTTCAAGCCGGTCGGGTCTCGTCCTATGGCCAAACAGAAGAGAATCACCTGCATCACGGGCAGCGCGAAGATGAACAGCATCACGCCCACGTTTCGCCACATCCGCAAAAAGTTCTTCTGCAGCAGAGCTTTGATCTTCCCCACCGACGTGATGTTCGAGCAGCTGCAGTCGTCGCACGAGTCCATGATTCCGCCTTTCGTACCGCCGTTCATCTGCAAGAAGCATTTTAAATTAACGATTTACATAAAGTTTGATCGATATCGAACTCACATCCAGATGTCCGTTGGCGCCTTCGTGTATCAGAATCTCCTTGCTCTGGTGAAAGTTGAGGCCGACGACACCGCTCTCCTCCGTAACGAACACCGACTCGTTCTTCTTGTCCCAGTTGAGCGTGGCCAAACTGATGTTGTTAGACATGTTCTGCGGTTGTGCCTCTGCTGGCAAGGCGGGCGTCGGCGCGTTCGCCTGACCCTGTTTCCTACTCAGCTTCAGGAACACCTCCTCCAGCGAGCTGCAGTTGTACATGGTCAGCAGACGACTGGGCGACTCTTCGGCCAACAATTTTCCACTTCTCATCAAACCGATCTGCAATACGAGACGAAGCGCGTTAAATTAAAGTTACATTTGAAAATCATCTACAGATAATAAACTAACCGTGTGAGCTTGCCGGGCTTCTTCGATGTAATGCGTGGTGATGATGACGGTCTTGTTACCGTCCTTGGTGATCTGCACCAGATGATTCCAGATGCTCTGCCTGAGCAACGGATCGACGCCGACCGTCGGCTCATCGAGGATGAGCAGCTCCGGGTCGTGCATCAGAGCAACCGCGAACGAGACACGCCTCTGCTGTCCGCCGCTCAAATTCTTGACCATCCTGTTCTGGCTGGGCAAGTCGAGGAAGTTCAGCAGGAACTGCAACCTCTCGTTGATCTCCTCCGTCTTCATCCCGAAGATCCATCCAAAGTACATCATGGTCTCCTTGATCGTGAACTCGCCGTAGAGCGCGATCTCCTGCGGCATGTATCCGACTCTCTTGCCCGGCACTCCGGAACCCTTCGTCCCCGGTTTTCCGCCAAGCACCCAAATCTCGCCCTCGTTCAAGCGCCTCCTTCCGACGATGCACGATAGCAGTGTGGTCTTACCGCAACCCGAGGCTCCCAACAAACCGTAGCTAAATAGAGAGAAAAAAACAATCAAATTAGCAACAAATCTCATCTTTCATCATCTCATTGCACATACATTGTGCCCTTCTGCACGGTCATGTTGAGATCGCTCAGCACGTGGTTGGGGTTCTTCTTCGACCCGTAATGCTTGTAGGCGTGCCTCACGCACACCGCCTGCTGCCTCCTCGTCCATATCGTCGACTGCTGACTGTTCAGCGGTGGATGCGGCCTCTCGACGCCGACGCCCACCAGATCTGGACCGGGCGTCACAGGTTCAACCCTCTCACCCATCGCCGTCGTATCACTGCAACAACAACAAACAAAAAAAATAAAATTAGAAAAATTAGAAAAAGAAATAAATTAAACACAACCTTCTGCTCTCGTTCTCGATTATATAAAAAAACATTGCATATTAATTGCGTTCATGCGACCTTGAATGTTTTGCCACAGAGACAGGCCGCTTGCTACCTTCTTCTTACCCAAGAGTCCCTCTCGCACACTCACTAATTAATAATCATCGAACGCAAACACTTGCGCATAAACGTAATTGAAATGGAAACGTGTTAAAATTCGTTCCGCGGAAATCGAATCGAAAGACAATTACATTATATTACTATTTGAACGCCGCTACACGATATTTATAAATTTGGAAAATTACAATTTTTCAAAATGTTCGAAATATTAGTAAATCTTGACGTGACTCAAAAAGCGCACAATTCATTGCCAAAAACACATTACTCAATTCGACGCGTGACTTATCACCATCTCTGACTGACTTACAAGCTACAACAACAACAACAAATGCTACTTTGTTTATTTGCTTGTTTGCATGACATATCTTTGTTTCCGTGGCAACAGAAACAAAAGAGAAACGATCGGAACAATAAAAGCGGTAGGCGCGCTGCGTCGAAGGAGGAGAAGGAAGAAGGCCTTTCAAGGATCACAGAGGAACGTGTTCGGAAACTGTAATGCATGCAATGTAGTAGTGGAGTTAGTTATGAGAGCACGAAACATTTCATACCAAATTAATTAATTGCCTTGTTTGTATAACGACGATTCGCAAATTAGCGTGTACGAGAAAATGCCAACAAGAAAACGAGTACAGACTTGAGAGAGAGAGGTCGCGCAAAGAGCAACGAAGGAAAACGAGTGTAAAATACACCCGAAAATAACTGGCGGCGAAAAACGAAAAGAAGGCCGAAAACCGAATTCTGTGCGTCAGAGGCGAAGCGAAGGTTTACAAGAGTATAGTGATTTTAACACATATATATATTTACGCAAAGCGAGCATATTTTGTTGGTACGCATCGATGAAAGCAATACGGAAAAATATTTAGAAGATTCGGTTAACATCTTGAAAAAATCAATCAAACAATTGATAACTACAACAAACTAAAATGTTAAACAAAAATCAAACCACCTAAGACAGAACAATTTTGTTTTTTTTTGTGGTAAACGTTTGTCATAAATCGTATAATAATCTAGCATTCGCGTCAAAAACAATTGAATTTACATCGCGAAACGGATGAAAGAGAAAATCAAACAATTGATAACTATAACAAACTACGGCTGCCCTAGCAAAACAAAAGTGTTAAATATCGGCAATGTTAAGTAATTTGCATTTGTGCAAAACAAAAATCAAATCACCTGAGACAGAACAATTTGTTAAACGCTTGTCATACGATTTAATAATAATCATCTAGCGTCATTCGCGTCAAAAACAATTGAATTTACATCGCGAAACAGATGAAAGAGGAAATCAAACAATTGATAACTATATCAAAACTACGGCTGCCCTAGCAAAACAAAAATCAAATCACCTGAGACAGAACAATTTGTTTTTTCTAATAATCATCTAGCATTCGCGTGAAAAACAATTTAATNNNNCACGGCTACCCTATCAAAACAAAAGTGTTAAATAAATCGGCAATGTTAAGTAATTTGCATTTGTGCAAAACAAAAATCAAATCACCTGAGCAATTCACAGAACAATTTGTTTTTTTCTAATAATCATCTAGCGTCATTCGCATCAAAAACAATTGATTTTTCATCGCGAAACAGATGAAAGAGGAAAAACAATCGATTTAAAGATAGTAACGACGTGTCCAAAAAGGTGACAACTATTAAACAATCGTGTCACTTCCTAACGACAAACGCGTGCGGTTTAATGGAGATTCTTCGTTGTTCTCCTCTCGCACACAAACCATTTGAAACTGGTTTTCGATGATTTTTTTTATCGGCAATTAAAAGTGAAAAGACGACAATTATTATTAGTACGAGACAAATAAAATTGTGGAAACTCTCGATCAAACCAAAAGCGTTTAATACAAATTAAGTGTTTGTTTGTGTAACAAATGCGATGTAATTATGAGAAAAAATCGCTGATTCACGCAATTAAAATTGCATCCAGCGATTCGATGGAGATATCGATCAATTAGAGGAAGAAATAATTGAAAATAATACAAAAAAAAAACTCATGAAATATTAATGATTGCAACTGAGAGGAGGAGAATGAAAATTACTTTTCAATTGCAAATAAATCTATTTCAGATGAAGTAATTCATTCGAATCCAGACACAAAAATTGACGTAAAGCACACGAGGATAGAAAGACACAGATATGTGTCGCGTTTCGAAACTTTTCTGCCTCGGGGAAATAACTTATTCATGATGTTATATAACTACTACTACATTCATATGGAATGTCTAAAGTAGTGAACTTTCAAATATGCTTCGAGAGCAAGATCGGTGGCGCGTCGTAAGAGTTTCAATAACTCAAGTTAACAAGACCAAATTCATTGATTCGATCGAACGTACAGCGAGACTATCGTCTTCAAGTTAAGTGCGACCAATGTAAAATCAAGCAAACAAAAAAGAAAACAACAAAAATGCAAAGGCGAACCGGTGTAATAATTTGTTTTCAATGAAAGTGCGATCAAGTTTTCCCAGGCGAAAAATAGATGGAAGGACGACGACGACGACAACAATTATTATTATTACCTGGACGACGTTTGCACCGGTTGGACCTCGGCCATCGTTCGATTCGCACTGAATATTATATCTTATTAACTTGCGCACTTACGCAAACTTATTGCAAACAATCAAACGAATCGATGCAGAAATATCGGAGAAGAGCGAAAGGAGAAAGGGACAGACATTACGACACTGAAGAGGCAACAGCAGCAAGAATCGATGAACGTACTTTATTTAATTAAGAAGTCAACCCGGGTCGCAGCGGTGACGCGATTCAATGGACGCAAAACAAAAGAGTAAAGTACAGGTAAAACAATTGGGAAAAACTGAACTAAAAAAAATGAACATCTGATAAAACACGGGGGCGGCAGCGGCACATCGATTTCGACCGTTAAATCATTTAACGTTCACTCAATAATGCAGTAATCCATCCCCTCGATTCAATGCGAATCGATAAATTAGATATGCATTCACATAATTACACACACACACAAGAGTACAAACAAATTGTAATAATTCTATTAGCAATGGACTGATTTTCACGATGTAATCGGGTCAACCAAACAAAAAAAATACTCGATTCGCCTCATAAGGAACCGAAATTGAGCAACGTGAATTTTCGTCGGTTCCAATTAGAGCGCGCGTTCACGTAACGTAACGCAACGCAAGGCACTCTCGACGTTAATTTCGTTCTTGTTTTTTTTTTTTGGCGCAAGTTTCTTAATTTTATGAAACTCGTCGTTATTACGATCATTACGAACGGATGCGATACAAATTTCGCCGCCGCCACCTACCAAAACGTACAACGTTTATACTTCTCCTCCTCCCCCCCTCGGACAGAAACACCTCACCTCGTGTGCTTCTTAATTTCACGTAAAATTATTATTATAAAAGAGATTTTATAACGCTTTCGCTTTCGACCGGCTTAATGAAGAAACACGACCACCAACAGCAGCAGAACATTACGAAACGAGAAAGGCCAATAAACCGTACTACACATGCATACGTTAAGTGTGTGTCTATGAGAAAAACGTGCGGCGGCGATGATGAGGAGATTCCATTGACCGGAAACAACGAAATTGCGAAAAACTCTTAATGTTTGTCGACCCACTACTACAACTACTTCATTCCAGCTAACTTCCATGGAAATTCCACCCGCGAGTGAAAGTCAAGTCGCAGCACACGCAATGTCTTAACGTCACGTCACCAAGATCAAGTTACTTGTGATCTGTATACTTGACAAGTTACTCGTAAGCCCAACAACTTGATATCGTTTCGACGTTACAAACGATTAAGTCATTAAGCAGTAGAGGGGTAGAAAGTTAAACGATAGATAGACCTAATAATAGTAATGCGACGCGAAGAGTGAGTGTAGAGGTGGGAGGACAATTATCGAGTTGCAGCACACCGCTCTAACCTTGATACGCAAGAAACATTCCAATGTCCCGATCGCGAAATGTTTAAAGTCTAATTGCAATGCAGTGCGTTCCAATGTTCGAGAAGAATAAAAATAAAGAAAATGATAAATCAGGAGAGATCGTGACCAAGGCAAATGTACACAATTACCCGAACGCATTTCAAATGATTACAAAGCAGACAATTTTCGCATACTTATTACACTGATGTTCACTAGCTAACTAACAAAGTTCGAACCACTTGTCGGACTTTGCCACAAAATTGACAATTAAGAACTTTATATTATTTCGACGCAAATACTCGACAAGTAACAATTCTCAAGAACTACAGACGTGATTCAAGTGAAGCAATGCGCAAATCACATAATAACGTTCAAAAAAAAACTTAAGCACATCTTGCACGAAATCGATTCATAATTTCGAATCGCACACGCCATGATATACCATCATTCTTTTGTTTCCGAAATTACGCTTTGTTTACGCGTTTCAATTGGTTTCCAGTTAACCACAGCAACAACAACAACAACAACAACTACTACAACTACAAAAGGACGCCGAAGAAAACATGAAAATCCTTTTTAAAACTAGCAACAAATAAAATTATAAAGTAACAAATGTTTTATGCATACGTTTTAAAACGTTACGAGACAATATTTTTCTATTTTCGTTGATTGCAAAATTACAGACAATTACAGCGGCAATTTGTGGCGGAAATTGTCCTTCGAAAACGTACACACACAAAAAAAATAAGAGAGAGAAGAAAACGAATTGATCCGAGAAACGGACACGTCGCGAAAACAACAATTTATATAAATTAAAAAAACCTATTTGAATACACTTTTGTTTTGAAGTCTATTTCTTATATAGAGAAATAGATATTAATGAATTATTAAATTCGAAATTAATTTAAAATTATTA